CTCTGCGTGGGCCCTGCACTTACCTCACATCCAAAACAGGCCGCATGGAGAATCCTGGAAGGGACGTGGTGGGGTGTCAGGGCTGGGGCGTGGTGGGTGGGGCCAGCCAGGGGTGGGATTTGGAGGGTCTCCAAACCAGTCATAACGTTGGCTATGGATTCTCCCGAACCCTTAGCAGCCCACCCCTGTTTGTAAGAACTGTTAACCTGCTTATCAGCTCAGGGACTGCCATGTTTTACCTGTACAGAATGTATCGATACAGGAGCTTCAGACTCAGCTAGAACAAGAGATGAAACTTCGACAAGAAGAGCAAGAAACCTTTTCAGAAAGGATAATTCAGGTAACTACATTAAATAGTTACTGGAAAACTTCATCTGGTTTGCTTACTATTAGAAGCACCATATATTTGTGAAAAATATTCAGATATTATATATATGTGGTTGTGGATAATTAAGAATTGCTGAAACAGTTTTAAGGGCCAATTGATTTTTTTTAATCTATATAATTTTCATGTATAAATAGAAATCAAATTCTGACTGCCAGTCATATTATTTGGAAAATGGATTACATGATTGCAGGACCATTATTGGTTACATGAATATAATATGGTATAAAGTTTTGTCATTCTTACTTTGATTTTTTTGTGTGCATCCAGTTCCATATATTGTAAGCTGCTATTATAAAACTAATGTAATTGGAATATACTGAAAAAAATTAGAATGTGAAAATTGTTTTTCAAATACTTTTTATAAAAGAATCTTGCATAGAGAATCTATAAATTGCTTTTTAAAAATTATTTTAATAATATGATTTATTATAGATGAAGCAGATATGAAATTATGGATGATTGCATAATGTTTGGTTTTTTAGATATAGATAGATGAATCATCAGTTGATTGATGGATTACAGAACAGTAAACCTTTAGTAGTGATAATTAATTAATTAATTATCATTGTCAATTAGTTGACAATGTGTTTATGTATACATATCTATGTATAGTATGTTTCTCAACATTGAACTCTTAAAGGTGGTAAAAAAACAAAATCTTTTGCTGGATATTCAAACATTTGAATCGAGAGAAATTCTTTATTATTCTATACCTGGATGGTTCATAATCATAGACATATTCTTTGGATAGTTTGTTCTATCAAAATTTTCAAGGATGATTCATTACTACGGCCCTTTCAACAACTGGCTTGGAAAATAAGAATCTCTCTTTCTTAACATATAAAAATAGCACTCAACTCCTTAAAAAAATTCCTCATCCACAGGGAACATACATAATTTAGAATCATACCCTATTGGTTTTTCTAATTATTAATTGAAAATGAAGTTAGGAATTGTAGTCCCTCATATAACAATATCAAGTCCAGGATCATGTAAGCAATACATTGAAAGAATTCAGTGAAGAGACAGTGTTTATACCCAGAGAATTCAAATGCTTACACTATAGAAATCTAATCCAGCTTGTTACAATAAATGAGGTGTGTAATTTTTTCCCCAGAAGGCTATTGTAGTTAATTAAATTAAGTCTTCAACTTGAGATCTTTGGGTTTCTTGAAAGATGGATCCCTTGATAAAATCAGGTGATAATAATTAGAATTGGGAATCTTGGGGTTGTTTTTGTTTTGTTTTGCTCAAATGGATGTGTGGGGCAGATTCCAGTAACAAGCTGCTTAAGGACAATATTCTGTTCATGTTATGCATACTTGTTCTATTTAAAGTTGGAAGAAGAACATCTGCAAAACTTGCAAAGAAAAGATTTGGAGGTACAAAGCTTGACTTTACAGAACAAACTAGAAGAGAAAACGTGGAGTCAGGAGAAAATTCTGATGGATCAAGAACTCAGACATTTCAAGCAGAACATTTTTATCCTATATGTGAAATTGAAATGGCTGCTAAAACATTGGCGGCATGGCAGGCAAATAGAGAAGCAAGAAGAAGACATACTTGAGGTAACTGTCCCATACTATTTAATGGAGTAAAGCTAGAAATGTGATGATAATCGTTTTATTATAGGCAAAAGATATTTTAAGAAATAACATTACTTCAAGTTCAGATGCCAAAACTACCTTCATTGTGGCATTGTAATTTCTTGTCACAATGTTTTTAAGCAAAAAAGATATCAAACTGGTACTTGAAACTAATTAGGCTTATCAAAGAGAAAAGGTAGCAATAGATATTCATTTGTGCAGATGTCCCAGGTTATCTGTTATCTTTAAATTTTAAAGGTGCCATAAGACTGTGGGATAAAACAATACATTTACAAACCCAACATTTTTCTGCCTCTCCTGCAGTTTAAGATATCTTTCTTCAGAATAACCAAATGATACTTTACATTAGAATTTAAAAATATTGTGTGTGGAAATAGAATTGTAATTGTTCATTGTGAGTTTTGTATTAACTAAAAGCAGGAACAATAAAAAGAATTATATAGCAGCATATTCTCTTTTTAAATTCATTTATATGCTAATCATTTTATATACTATATCACCAATATAGAGGCCAAATCAATAGTTAATTACAAAGCCTATTGTGTTAATTTTTGCCAAATATGAGATTAGATCTATGATTCTAGAAATCTCAGAATCTCAGGATTTGTACAATAAGATTAAAATAATGGTGTGTGTNAATGTACACTTCTTAAGGGGGCAATGGTAAAAAACACTAAAAAAATACTAAGTGCAAAATTGAGAAGGGCTAAATGCAATATTTGGAAAAAGCATACTAATATAACTTGGTGACTGGAATGTAAACATTGGAGAAATTGAAAAATCTGAAATTACAGAAGAACTGGATTAAGTAAAATGTAATAATGAAGAAGGTTAACAGAGTTTTGCAAAGTTAATTCTTTATTTATTGAGAGAATCAGCTTCAAGCCACACACATATATATATAATTTACACATAGGCATTATGGGATTTACAACATTAAAATAACATTTAATACATAATAGGAAAGAGAACATAGAGAATTACAATCAGTGAACCATAGCAGTCTGAAATACAAATTATAAAACAGAAAATATACAGATGCCATGTAGAAAAGAAACTAAGGAGCTATAGAAGAATAAGAGACATCATAAAAACTAAGTGAAAAAAGTATTCTCAAAATACCAAAGAAAAGATTCAGCTGTTTTTCAAAACAATTTATTTTATAAGAGCCAAAGTAAGACCTAAAATTATGCATGGCAATTGAATATATCTACATCACATCAAGCAAAAAGCAAATAAAGAAATAAAGACTTTCAACAAGCAGAAGAGATTAAAGAAAAAAAATTAAGATTAGAGTACAGTATTCATGGGAAAACTCAAAAGACAGATCTAGTAGTCATGGAAGAAATCTAATAGAAGTAAATGAAATTAAAGTAAGATGGAAAGGCTATACTGAAGCTCTTTACAAATTGGGTTATGGAATCATAGAACAATTTGTACAGACACAATGTGTGAATGAATCTTCTTTCCTACAAAATGAGATATGACAGGCAATGGACCAGCTGTCAAATAAGAAAGCACTACGATCAGATGAGATGCCCATTGAACTATTTAAGGCTGCAAGAGAACAAGCAATTAAAGAGACTAAGTTCTCACACTGTCAGAAGCAAATAGCCTTAAACTATATGAGTTAATGTAGAAAGTGCAGATTGGAATATTTGGATTCATTTAAAAACAATAATCAGATATAGACATCTTTGCCAATTCTGTTTGCAATACACACAGAAGCCTGGAACTCCTAATATGCTTTCCAATTTTTCCAAAGCACCTATTGGTTTTTCAGACTCTGATGTAGTGGGAACCAAGTTGGACAATTGGAAAATAATGCCAATCACCAGCTCAGTGAGATATTGGCTCTTCCTCCAGGACAAAAAACATAAATTTAAGAAATAAAATTAACTATTTTCAGGTACTTACTTCAGTAAGTACTTTGGTTCTAGGAGTTGTACAGATGAGACTGAAACCAAAATAAACTTTAAAACCAAAGTTTCAGAAATGATAACTTTCTGTAAGTGCTTCTGCACACTTCAAAAATTTACATGTATGTCTGCATAGATAACTATGGTTACAAATAATCTAGCTGTCCAAACCATAGCTAAAGCAGATCCTTATGTGGATTTTAAATATACATTCAATCAAGTATCAAGCATCACCAGATTCATCAACAGAAAATTTTTGTGCAGGTTTTTCATTAATTATGAACATAGCATGTCTTCCGGGAAGCCAGTTTTTCCCATTCCCCGAGCCTCTGCGTGGGCCCTGCACTTACCTCACATCCAAAACAGGCCACATGGAGAATCCTAGAAGGGACGTAGTGGGGTGTCAGGGCTGGGGCGTGGTGGGTGGGGCCAGCCAGGGGTGGGATTTGGAGGGTC